GCCTTGGAAGAGGGTTCAATAAAGGGTCACTGGACTGATGCTTGGGATGAAGGGTATGCCCTGTGAGGAAAGATTGAATCAACTAGGCCTATATATTCTGATGTTTAAAAAATTGAGCAATGATCTCATTGAAACATAAAAATCATTAAGGGTCTTGACAGGGTAGAAACTGAGACCAGGGCGCCAGAATCTGTAACTTAGTGCTACAGTCTTAAAATTGATTTAAAAAAGAACTATGATAGGATGTGAATGTCACTGGCTGGACCAGCATTTCAAACGCATCCCCAGTTGTTAAGAGTCAACCACAGTGGTTGTGTGTCTGGAGTCAGATGTAGGTTGGACCAGTCAAGGATGGCAATTTGAGTGTACCAGATGGATTTCTCCCCCCTACAACAATCATTTCATGGTCATCATTAGGGTCTTAATTTCAGATTTCTCCCACCCCACCGACCATATGTTATGGTAGGACTTGGACCTGGGTCTCTAGATTAATAGTATAGCGATAATACCACTAGGCCGTCGCCTTCCCTAAAGTTTTTTGGCTGTTTCAGGCTGAGATGTGGAGAGATTCTTTTGCTTGGTGAGTTGTGAATCTCTGGAAGTCTCTAACCCTGAGAACTGTTGACAATCAGTTGCTGTGTATGTTCAAGACAGAGACTAGTTTTAAGGAACTTAAGAGATATGGGGGCGGGAAGTGGTTTAGGACCAGAAGATATGTTTGAGGTAGAAGATGAGTTATGATTGAAGTATAATTGAATGGAAGAGTAGACTTAAAGGGCTGAATGGCTTACTTCACCTATGATTTTAGAACCTTAGTGCAACATCTCTGCCTTCATCAATCCTCTTTGTTATTTCTTCAAAACACTCATTTTAGTGAGACACGATTTCCCACACACAAAGCCACGTTGACTATCCCTAATCAGTCCTTGCCTTTCCAAGTACATGTAAATCCTGTACTCGGGATTCTCTCCAACAACTTACCCACCACCGATGTCAGGCTCACTGGTCTATAGTTCCCTGGCCATGCCACCATTCTTAAATAATGGCACATTAGCCACTGTCCAGTCTTTTGGCACCTCACCTCTGGCTATTGATGACACGTATATCTCAGCAAGGGGCCCAGCAATCACTTTCCTGACTTCCCTTGCAATGGAATAATGAGGCTAAAAGTAGAAACAGGGTGATTTTTTTCATTGGATTTTGAGTATCTGTTCAGTCGTTGTTTAAAAGGATTCAATTTTTATTTCTGATAGTTGTAATAAGGTTGTTTCAAATTGTTCTTGTACAGTGTAACATAGTTTGTGTTATTAGCTTGTGTCTGCAATAAAGTTTGGTTTTCTTTCATCAAAAGTACATTGGTAGCCTCTTGTGAAGGTTTTCAGTGAGTGATAGGTCATAAGCTTCACTTTTTTTTACTGAGTTGTCTAGTATTACCGCTCACTGGGATCATAACATACCTTTGACGTTGGGGTGGGCTGGTGGCTCAGTGGTTAGCACTGCTGCTTCATGGCACTAGGGACCCAGGTTCAATTCCATCCTCAGGTGCCTGTCTTTGTGGAGTTTACACCTTCTCTCTGTGTCTGAATGGGTTTCCTCTGGGTGCTCTGGTATCCTTCCACAGTCCAAAAATGTTTAAGTTAGGTGGATCAGCTGTGCTAAATTGCTCATAATGTCCAGGGATGTGCAGGCTAGCTAGATTAGCCATGGGAAATGTGGGTTTACAGGGCTAGGGTAGGGAGCTGTGTCAGGTGGGATGCTCTTCAAAGGATCTGTGTAGATTCAATGGACCATGGCCTGCTTCCCTGCTCTAGGGATTCTATGATTGTGCCATGTTCCAACTACACAGGAGGTTTACCAAACAAAACTTGACGTTGAGTCTAATAAGGAGGTATTAGAACAAGGTGAATGCAAGTTTGGTGGAAGAGGCAGGTTTTAAGATGTGCTGTAAAGAAAGACAGTTAGGGAGGGGACTCTAGAACTTGGGGGCTTTGCCTGTAGAGACATGATCGTCACTGGTGGAGAAAATGGAAAATGGCTAAAAGATGAAAATAGTGACACAATCAGAAGTTACAGGATTGAAAGTAATGAATTTTGAGGGATACAGAGGTTGGGCTGGAGCCAGTACAGACACAATGGGCCAAATGGCCTCCATCTGTGTAAAATATACGATTCTATGGTTGAGCTGAGGGAGGTTGATAAGAATGAAGGCACAGCCATGGGGGTACTTAAAATGGGGAAAAAAACGTATTAAAGCTGGTGTTGCTCGAGTGGTCAAGCAACACTGGGAAAATGGTACATGGTGTGAATTAGGATGCAAGTCTAGCTTTGTGGAGGGTTGAAGGTGGGAGCCCAGACAAGAGGACATTGGAATTATCCAGTCTGGAGGTAACAAAAGCTCATCAGACTTCGGGATTGGAAAAGATGTTTAAGTTGCCTTCCCAATTTTGAGTTTTTATTAATAGAATTGCTACAGCATGGAATCAGGCCATTCAGCCCAATGGGTCACCACTGACCATCCAAGGAGCATCCCACTAATACCCAATCCTTGTACCCCTAGATTTCCCATGCCTAATCCACCCAGCCTGCACATCCTTGGACACTACAGACAATTTAGCATGGCCAATCCACCTAACCTGCACATCTTTGGACTGTGGGAGGAAACCAGATCACCTGAAAGAAATCCACACAGAATGTGCAAATTTCACACAGACAGTCACCTGAGGGTGGAATTGAACTCAGGTCCCTGGCACTGTGAGGCAGCAGTGCTATCCACTGACCCATCAGGCTGCCCCTATGGTGTTGGAGTTAAAGAATTGGGATCTGCCCCACGTCTTCTCTCTCCTTCGTGCAGTAACCTCCTCTTCCTCTCTCCGTCATCTGTTCTGGATCCACTTTCCTTATTAGGTTGCTGATGCCTTTAGAGTTGCCAGAAGGGAATGAGTCAGCCAGCTCCTGGGAATGAGCATAGGGTCCACAGATTTGTCTCAGACAATCTGCTTGACATCGTATTTAGAATCCATTTCTCTGCTGCTGCAACTGCACATTGTCTCCACAAATCAATCCTCTGTTGTTAATGTAACCGTCTGGCTTGAGGTGCTTTGATTTAAAAATAAACAAACCATGCACTTTGGATGCAAACAGTCCCACTGTAACAGTTCCAATGTGGAGGCTAGAACAGAATCCATCCTTATAAACAACCTGAGGCAACACTTATTTAGTGATCAACCACAGTGAGGGTCTGAATCTATGCACACTTCTGTAAGGGTCGCTGAGGTCTGGAATTTCTTCTCCATCTGTCATTACAAAAAACAACTCACATTAAATGCAGAGATAGTAAAAAGTGCCGATGCTGGAGTCAGAGATAGCACAGTGTGGAGCTGTGAGGACCCGAAATGTCAGCTTTCCTACTCCTCTGATGCTGCCTGGCCTGCTGTGTTCCTCCAGCTCCACGCTGTGTTACCACATTAAATGCAGTAAGACATAGCAAGGCACTTTAAAGAATTATGATCTGCCAGAATTCGATGCGGAATCGGGTAAAGACCAATGACCAAAGGGTTAGGGCAAAGACCTGAGTTTTAAGTAGCAGGTAGAGGAGAGGGGGCTAAAAAGAGAGGTATTGAGGTTCGCTGAGGGAATTCCAGAGCTTGGAATCTGGACATTCTCAGTATGGGTGGAGGCGATGGCCAAGTGGTATTATTGCTAGACTGTTAATCCAAAGACCCAGATAATATTCTATGGATCGGGGTTCAAATCCTGCCACGGCAGATGGTGGAATTTGAATTCAATAAAAATATCTGGAATTAAGGGTCTAATGACGACCATGAATCCATTGCCGATCGTTGGGAAAAACCCATCTGGTTCACGAATGTCCTTTAGGGAAGGAAACTGCCATCCTTACCTGGTCTGGCCTACATATGATTGCAGACCCACAGCAATGTGGTTGACTCTGAAATGCCCTTTGGGCAATTAGGGATGGGCAATAAATGCTGCCTGGTCAGCGACGCCCTGATCCCATGAATGAATAAAGAAAAGAAAAATGCTTCCAAAGATGGAGCGAAGGAACTCACGGTTGTACAAAATCAAAAATTGCAGGAACACAGTGGGTTGTAACACTGGAGGTGATCTTGCATTCAGGCAATGAATTGATTTGACCCACTTCATGAGTGGTATAGGAGGTGTCCCGCTGTCTTCAGTTTTGGCTCTCTCTATAAATTTTTAAAATCCGATTATTAGCTTCTTCCACCCCCTCACCCGTTCTATTCCCAGGAAGCGGATCAGGAGTTTAACGTTAAGGTGCTATGTGAATGTGAGCTGGGGAGTTTGAGAGTGACTTGGAGGCGATTACGGAAGTAATACTGTTCTCACACACCAGCTGCTTTCGGTGAGGTCACAGGCTTGAAAGAAGTATGGATTGTCAGAAAATTTACTTCATGTGTCATTAGTTTTCCGATTTTTGGCCTTCCTGCCTTTCAGGCACTTGACTGTCCCAGGATTTATAATTTAGCAAGTGTTTTCCAACAGCTCAATCTTGGTGGCCCGTGATGGTCTGTTCGATTCTAACAATTGAACTGTACTCCACTGTTCACAAATGTTCTAAAAATGGAAAACATATCATTTGTCATAAAAACCAAAAGAACTGTGGATGCTGGAAATCAGAAACAGAAACTGAAATTGCTGGAAACATTCAGCAGTTCTGGGAGCATCTGTGGTGAGGAAGCAGAGTCAATGTTTTGGATCCAACTAAGTGGTTCTGAGGAAGGGTTACAGGAACCTGAAATGGTAACACTGATTTCTCTCCACAGATTCTGCCAGACCTGCTGAGCTTTTCCAGCAATTTCTATTTTTGTTTCTGATTGCCAGCATCCGCAGTTCTTTCAGTTTGTTTCTGTCTCCCTAGTTATTACTCAACCTAATGCATTTTTCCAGAACTTGTTTGATCATTGATATCCTTTGTCTTTGCTTTCATTGACAGTAACACTATTCGTGTTTCTGTTCTGCAGGTTGGTACAGAGGATATTCCTTGAAGAACAGATCTGTTACAGTAAGTCTCATTATTTATCATATAATAACATTTTCAAAATCCTAACAAATTGCAGATGATAGAAACATAGAAACCAGGAGCGGGAATAGGCCATTCAGCCCTTCGAGTCTGCTCGATCATTCAATAAAATCACAGCTGATCCTACATCTGAAGGCCATATTCCCACCTCCTTGATGCCTTTAATATTAATAAACCTATCAATTTCTTTCTTGCATGTAATTAGTGACCACCACAGCCTTCCATGGTAGAGAATTCCACAGGTTGACCATCCATGTAAGTGAAGAAATATTTCTACATCTTATCCTGAAAACAGCCTACTATCCTGAGAGTGTGACTCTTGGTTCTAGACTCCCCAGTGAGGGAGAGCATCCTCCCTGCAGCTCAGCTGACTAGCCTGTTCGAATTTTTTACATTTCAATCAGATCGCCTTTGATTCTTTCCGATATTTCCTAACAAATTTGTTCAGAGATGTTAACACACCTCTGGAGCAAGTTAAATTTGAACCTGGCCTCCTGTCTCAGAGGTAAGGACACTACCACTGCACCACAAAAGCCCCTTCTCTGATTCTTCTAAACAGTAATGAATTCAGGCCCAGTCAAACCAATTCTCCTCATAGGACAGTCCTGCCAACCTCAATATGACTCTACATGCTGCCTCACAGCACCAGGGATCTGGGTTCATTTCCAGCCTCAGGCAATTGTCTGTGTGGAGTTTGCACATTCTCCCCATGTCTGCGTGGGTTTCCTTGGGTGCTGCATTTTCCTCCCACCATCCAAAGATGTGCAGGTTATGTAGAAGTGTCCAGGGATGTGTGGTTTAGATGAATTAGCCCTGCTGAACGCAGGGTTACAGGAATCGGGTAAGGGGTGTGTCTGGGTGGGATACTCTTCAGAAGGTTGGTGTGGACTTGATAGGCCAAATGGCCTGCTTCCACAATTGTAGGGATTCTATTGTGATGTAGAACCTTTGCACACTCTCTATGTCAAGTAGGGAGGGAGACCAAGACTGCACACAATACTGCAAGTGTGGTCTCACCACGGCCCTGTATAACTGCAATAAGACTGACCACTTGCCTTCTTAATTGCTTCCTGCAATTCCCTGTCTACTTTCATCGAGTGGTGTGCAAGAACATCCAGCTCCCTTTGTACATCCACACTCTCAATATACCGCCATGTGAATAAGGCTTATCCTTTCTGTTTTTACACCGAGGTGTATAATTTCACATTTAGCCACATTATATTGCATCTGCCATTTGTTTGCCCACTCTCTTGATTTGACTAAATGAAGTCTCTTTACACCATCCCCACAATTCTCTATCCCATCCTGTTCTGTTAGTTAGACAGAACTGACGTAGAAATTAGATCAATCGTCAGGAAAGAAAATTTTAGAATGAAGAACGTTGCTTGTTTTTAGTTACAATCTGGGAATAATGTGAAATATTTGAGCTTTTTAATTGCAGTTTAGTTTGGACTTTATGACTTGTACTGGGTTGGATTTGAAATAATCAACAGCCATTCGAGACAATGTTAGAATTGGCCTGACTTTCTTTTTCCAGTGTAGAAGGGCCTTGTGCTGAGATATTGTCAGGATTACTGGTCAGATGTCATCAAGGTTCTGTCCCAGCAAGACCTGAATGTAGGGAACGTCTCCTTCTGGATTCCCCCACCAGAGGAAATAGTTCCTTTCTATCTGGATTTATCCGCCTATGAAAAGCGTAGAGAGAAAGAAGTGATGGCCCCCTATGTTGCAATGTGATACCGGATCTATGTACAGACGAGTCAGGGTTTAAGATGAACCTCCGAATTTCCACACCTTCCCAGTTGGGTTTGGTGGACATCGTCAAAACACAATCACTGACACAGATGCGTTTAAAAGAGATTTACAGAGTCATAGAGATGTACAACACGGAAACAGACCCTTCGGTCCAACTCATCCATGCTGACCAGATATCCTAAATTAATCCAGTCCCATTTGCCAACATTTGACCCATATCCATCTAAACCCTTCCTATTCATATACCCATCCAGATGCCTTTTAAATGTTGTAATTGTACTAGCCTCCACCACTTATTCTGGCAGCTGATTCCAAACATGCACTACTCTTTATGAGAAAAAGTTGCCCCTCAGGTCCTGTTGATATCTTTCCCCTTTCACCTTAAACCTATGCCCTCTAGTTTTGACCTCCCCCATCCTGGGGAACAGACCTAGTCTATTTACCCTATCCATGTCCCTCATGTTTTCATAAACCTCGATAAGGTTACCCCTCAGCCTCCAACGCTCCATCCCCAGCCTATTTAGTCTCTCCCTTTATCTCAAACCCTCAAACCCTGGCAACACCCTTTTAAATCTTTTCTGAACCCTTTCTAGTTGCACAACATTTCTCCTATAGGAGGGAGACCAGGATGAGAAACAGGCTGTTTGGCCCAACTAATTCGTACTGGTGCTACATGAAGACACTCCCATTTTACATCATCAAACACCATCAATATTTGGTCAAAGGATCATTTTTGGGCTGGAGGACAGTTTGTACTGGACCTCAGCAGAGGTTAGTATTGAGGCGCTTGTTTTTACATGATATACGTTAATGATCTGGGAGCACTTCCTAATCATAGAATCTCCACAGTGCAGAATGAGGCCATTTGGCCCATTGAGCCTGTACTGACCCTCCAAAGACCACCCAACTCAGCCACAGCCATAACTAATCTACCTAGCCAGCACATCCCTGGTCACTATGGACGATTTAGCATGGCCAATCAACCTAACCCACATATCTTTGACTGTGGGAGAAAACTAGAGAACTCAGAAGAAACCAACATAAACACAGGGAGAATGTGCAAACACTACACAGACCTTTAACCAAGTTTGAAACTGAACCCAGGTCTCTGGTACTGTCAGGCGGCAGTGCTAACCACTGAGGCATCATGCCACCTACACAAAGTGTGGAAATGACATGCAACTCAGAAGAAATGTGGACTGTAAGGAGGACAGTGTAGATCTCCAGAAGGAGTTGGTGGAGTGGGCAAATAGATGGCAGATGATTTTCAATGCTGAGAAGTGTGACATTATGCACTTTGGGAAGAATAACATTGAAATATAATATAAAATAAAAAAATACAATTCTATAGTTCTATATGTGCACAGATGATTGAAAGTGGCAGGACAAGTAGAGAGAGCAGTAACTAAAGCTTATGGGGTTGTCTGCTTTATTAATAGGGGCGTAGAGTTTAAGAGTGAGGATGTTGAATTTGTATAAGACATTTATTAGACCTCAATTGGAGTATTGTGTACAGTTCTGGGTGCTACATTATAGGAAGGATGTAAATGCACTGGAGACAGGGTGGAAGCAGTTTACGAGAATGGCTCAAAGAATGAGGAACCTCAGTTAAGAGGAAAGTTTGAAGAAGTCAAAAATGTTTTTCTTGGAAAAAACAAGGCTGAGAGATAGAGGTTTTCAAAGTTACAAATGAGTTGAATAGAGTAGATAGGGAGAGACTGTTCCTACTGATAAAAAGAGCTAGAAAGAGGGCATAGTTTTTAAATTATATGCAAAAGAAAAAGGGTGAAGGTGGAAGATGATGGCTTAGTGATATTATTGCTGGACTGTTAATCCAGAGACCCAGTTAACATTCTGGTGACCCGGGTTCGAATCCCACCACGGCAGATGGTGGAATTTGAGTTCAATAAATATCTGGAATTAAGGGTCTGATGGTGACTGTGAATTCACTGTCAATTGTTGGGAGAAAAACCCATCTGGTTCACTAATGCCCTTTAGGGAAGGAAACTGCCATCCTTACCTGGTGTGGCCTACATGTGACTCCAGACCCACAGCAATGTGGTTGACTCTGAACTGCATTTTGGGCAGTTAGGGATGGGCAATAAATGCTGGGCTAGCCAGCGACACCCTCATGCTATGAATGAATAAAAAGAAGTGAGGAAAAATATTTTCACTCCCCAAATATTTAGGGTATGGAATGCACTTCCTGGAAATGTGGTGGAGGCAGGTTCAATTAAGGCCTTCATGACAGCACTGGGTGATTATCTGGATAAAAATAATGTGCAAGGACATGACAGGGATAAATCCAGAGCTTGGTACTTGGTAATGATCTTGTTTCACGAGTTGGTGCAAGCACAATGGGCCTCCTTCTGTGTTGTAACACTTTGATTCTGTCATATATTTCTTTCCTCTTCTCATCCAGCTCCAGAGCTAACTTTGTTTTAAATGCATCTGTAAGCTGACACAATTAATCACTCAGTGGCTGTGTGTGTTCTCAGCAGAGAGAAAGGAAGCATTACCCAAGCAGAAAGCAGGACAGGCTCACAACGTGGAAATGTGCCCATGCACATTTTTAGAGAGCTGTTCTATTATGAGCTGATTGCACAGTTTCTAACAGTGATGCCCTCCGTAGTCGATTAGCATGTCATCATCGCTTTGTCATTGTCTAGGTTCACCACCACTTGATATGTGTAAGGCAGCTAGCAATACATGGAGCTCCATCTCTGGAGACATGATCAATGCCCCTCAGTGCGGAGAAAAGGGAGGATTGTTTAATGGAAATTTTGGTTTCTCTATCTTCAGTTCATGTTTGAGAGAACAAGTAATTATTACTTATCCTTTTCCTGTCCAAAGTTCTCTGAACAGGAAGTGCTAGCAAGTGTAGCAGGAAGAGTGTCCAACCGATAACATCTGGAATGTGACATAAGTTCCTCTGTGGCATTGAGCCAAAAGATCCGACTTGTCAAGACAGGTTATGTGCAAACATGTTAATATTAATCACACTTAACTTAGTTTGACAACAAAGTCCATGTTGAGGTAAATTCTGACTTTGTGCGTTAGTGTAAAATGGATGATAAGGAATTGGCATTTGCAAGGTTGACTTCAATGAAAACATAATTCGAGAGAATTGTAAAACATGCTGACAGTTCATTAGCATGAGTGCATAAAGCAAAAGTCTACCCTATTTAAGCAATTAGAACTTTTAAAAAATGTTAAAATTGTATCTTAAAGGAGAATACATTAGAACACAGGTCAGGTGATGAAGGAGCAGTGCTTCAAAAGTTTGTGATTTCAATTAAACCTGTTGGACTATAACCTGGTGTCGTGCAACTTCTGACTTTGTCCACCCCAGTCCAACATTGGCAAATCCACATTGGTAGAGAAAGCAACAGAATTAAAGCTGGAAGCTCAAAATAATAAGCGATTGTACTAAAATAATGCCTGTTACAAAGTCAGGGAAATGGATGGAAGGGTAAATCTCCCTCCACAAATATTGTCAGCTCTTTGAGTATGTCCAACATTTTCTGCTTTTAATACAGATTTCCATCCTCTGCAATATTTGTCATCCAATTTATTTGCTCCAAAATCATTGCCACTTAACTGTGGCACTATTTAGAATCAAGGTATTATTTAACTTGACCAGAAACTGAGAAAGATGAAAGTCTTCAAACATACAGTTTTTTTGGACACTTAAATATATAATAAAAATGTAAATTTCCACTCTGCATGAAAGCAATGAAACTTGAAATAGGAAGAGAAAGGAAGCAAAAATGCACACAGTTACATCGAGAAGGAAGATATTGAATATGAATCTGAGCAGATGTTAAGAATGGATATAAAAGCAAAATAGTGTGGAGGCTGGAATAAAAGCAGAAAGTTCTGGAGAAACTGAACAGGTCTAACAGCATCTGTGGATGTATAAGCAGGGCTAATGGTTTGAGTCCAATATGACTTCTTCAGAACTGAAAGTGCATTGTTAAGGGGTAAATAAAGGTTCATTTATTGTTCAAAAGGGTGATAACTTACTCGTTCATAGGATGTCATTGACTGGGCCAGCATTTAGTGCTCTACTTGATCGAGTATGATTTCAGTGAGTCTCAGATGAATTCTGTGTACGATTGAATAAACAATTGTAAACCTCTACTGGAGATTTCTGCAGTAGACCATTAGAAGTAACCACAAAAGGTCGACCTGAGATAGTTACACACACAGTGCTGTCAGGGTTCCAGGATTTTGACCCAGTAACACCGAAGTAATGGCGTTATAATTCCGCGTCAACAAGTTGTGTGTCATGGAGGGGAACTACAGACCCGTTCTCATATGTATGCATCATATGCCTCCTTTCTCTTCTACATTTTCTCATCATTATCCTTAGTCATCCAGGGTAGTCCAACTTTGGGTGCCCCGTATTTACATCTTGTGGGTATGAACAGAGGTTACACCCTATTCATCTCACATTTGAAATTGTACCATTTTTCGACTGTTTTATCCACCAAAATGCATTTCCAATTAATTGGACATGCTCCAGCCCAACGTTTAGACCCTTTAAAATCTGTCCCTTTCTAGTCTGGAATCTTAATCATTGACTGATTGTTATCTTTCACCAACTAATATTGACCCTTTATTATTTTATGATCAATATTTTCCACATGTTCCCTCACTCTGTTCTCCACTTGGCCTGTCTGTTTCCTAGGACCAGATCTGGCAGAACTCCCTCCCTGGTAGGACTGGAAGTGTCCTGATCCAGAAAATTCTCTTGTACATATTGCAGGAAATTCTCCCCTTCCGTGTCCCCCAGTCTACTGTAAGGTAAATTAAATCATCAACTATCACAACACTGCTTGCCCTGTAGGTTTGCATAATCTGCCTACAACTCCTCTCTTCTACCCTACCCCAGTATTTGGAAGTCTATAATCTCCTATATCCCACCTCTTACTGTATAGATTCTGATTCAGGGACTTGTTTAGGGGCAATGGTACTATCTTTGACTCAGACTGCTACACCCTCCCTTTTAAGATAGAGATGAGGAGAATTGCTTATCTCAAAGGATTGTCTGTCAGTGGAATTTTGTCTTCCCCAGAGGGGAGTAGAAGATATGCCTTTAAATTGATTGAAAGCTGAGTTAGATGGATTTTTGATGGATAAGGGAGTTAGGCTTTAAACAGCACAGAGAGGAAAGTGGATTTGAGACCACAGTCAAAGGTGAATGTGTGGTGGAACACACTGTTAGGATCAAATGGCCTTCTTTTGTTTGTAGTAAGTCTTAAATAGAATATTCTGAAACTTTCCTCAGACTAATAATAGATGACGATTGATTTAAAACAATATAAGCAGTCAAATAGAATGTCAAATGTTATTTAATGCATTTGCAGTTCCATAAATTAACCATCATTGAATATCTTAAATTCAAAGAGTCATAGAGCTGTACAGCACAGAAACAGACCCCTCACTCCAACTCGTCCGTGCCGAGCAGATATCCTAAATTAATCTAGTCCCATTTGCCAGCATTTGGCCTGTATCCCTCTAAACCCTTCCTATTCGTGTACCCGTCCAGATGCCTTTTAAATGTTGTAATTGTACCATCCTCAACCACTTCTTCTGGCACCACATTCCACACACGCACCACCCTCTGTGTGAAAAAAGTTGGCCCTTAAATCCCTTTTAAATCTTTCCTCTCTCACCTTAAAGCTATGCCCTCAAGTTTCGGAGTATCCCCCCCCACCCCCCCCCACCGCCCCCCGGGAAAAAAAACTTTGCTATTCACTCTATCCATGCTCCTGTTGGTTTTACAAACCTCTTCAAAGTCAGCCTCTGATGCTCCAGGGAAATAGCTCCAGTGTATTCAGCCTCTCTCTCTAGCTCAAACCCTCCAACCCTGGCAACATCCTTGTAAATCTTTTCTGAACCCTTACAAGTTTCACAACATCCTTCCCATAGAAGGGAGACCAGAATTGCATGCAGGACTCCAGTAATGGCCTCACCTATGTCCTCTACAGCCGCAACATGATCTCCCAACTCCTATACTCAATGCAGTGACCAATAAAGGCAAGCATACCAAATGACTTCTTCATTACCCTATCTACCCTACCTCTACTTTCAAGGAACTATGAACCTTCACTCCAAGGTCTCTTTGTTCAGCAACACTCCCCAGGACTTTACCATTAAGTGTATAATTCCTCCCCTGATTTGCCTTTCCAAAGTCTAGTGCCTCGCATTTATCTACATGAAACTCCATTTGCCACACCTTGGCCCATTGCCAATCTGATCAAGGTCCCATGGTACTCTGAGATAATCTTCTTCACTGTCCACCACACCTCCAATTTTGGTGTCATCTGCAAACTTGCTAACTTTCCCTCCTATGTTCACATTCCAAATCATTTATGAATGTCTTTTGTGTCCTTCATGTCTGCAATCAAACATTATCTCTGGACAACAATTCTGTGCTCTCTCCACAGGGAATATTTCCTGCCTCAGTCATTCACATCAAGAATGCAGCTGTTGAGATCAGAGGGTAAGTCTCTTTTATGGTTCTTGTACCCCATTGACTTGTTGGCATGTTGCTCAGGTGGATCTGACAGTGATGCGTGTGGTTTTTAAAAACCTCCAGGATTACGGATGCATTAGTTCTGGAAACGAAATTTTCCATTTCGGAGACCTGAATTTGGGGGCAGGGAGAATTTGACTCCTCAGTGGTTGTGGTATGTCTGAAGGGCTTGATTTACCCAATTCTGCCCAACTTTGCCAATATATAACTCATCAGCACTTAAAACTAGAATGCTAGAAGGAAAAGGAAGAAAGATTCCATGTAATTAATGAAGTTCAGAAGCAACTTGAGGGAAATGGCTTCAGTGGGTGTCAGTCTCCTGATGTCAAAGCCAACTGAATGGTGTTTGGTCAGCGTAACTTTACCCAAACCTGACAGATCCATTAGAATATTCATTAACCCAACACGACTCAACATGGTCATCATGAGAGAAATTTGCCCTCTGGTCCGCAGTAGGTGAGAGTTTAGCCAAATTGTCTAAAAGTGGAGTTTCCATTAAAGTTGAGTTCTTGCAGGATCAATTAGACAGACAATCAAGACTACACTATTATTCCATTTGGATGGTTTTGCGCCAACAGTCTTCCGTTCGAGATTGCCTCAGCCTCAGAGATTTTTCAAAAGACTGTGTCCTGTATTTTGCAACAGTTTATAAAGTGTCATCTGCAACATGGCTGACATATTGAGCCATGGGGAAAATATGTTGAGGAACATGGTCAGGGGTTGCATGTAGGTATAAACAGCCTGAAGGACATTTGCTCAATGACCAGAGTGAATATTCGAAGGAATCAATTCTTTTCTTGGAACGCATTTGCTGATGAGGATGAAATAATTCCAGATCCACAGAAAATGAAGACAGTTGAGAAGTTTCCAGCTCTGAAATCATGACCTGCAGAGATTTCTAGACATGGTCAACTGGTTGCTGATGCAACTACACATGAACCTTTGAGGCAAACTGTCAAGATTGGTGCTGGGACTTGCATAAAGAAGATACTTTTCGAAAGATCAAGGCCACAGTGTCATCTACAGCTGCGCCACCCCTCTGTAATCCATCCTTTCCTGCTATAATAGCTATGGACGCTTCAGTTCACAGCAACAATGACTTTTCAGGAGTGAGTAGATTAGTGTGAGAAACAAGTGTACTTTGCACTCAAAGCATTGTCAGACTCAGAGACTCTTGGCTTGAAAGTATTCATTGCAATGGACCGGAGACATTGATCTCAAAATTAAATAAGAGAGTTGGCATGGGTACCTCCACGGACAGAGATTTATACTTGATGTTGAGGTTCGCTTATGAGATAAAATATGGTCAGGGAAGCTACAATGATTTAATCGTCACCTTGACAAGCCATAACCAAACAAACAATGAGGAATTTGTCAGTGAAATTGAATTGTATACTCAGGACAGACTGATACCGTAGTCAGCAAATCAAAACAGGTTTGATTGAATAACATAGGAACAAAAGGACCAAGAATGTGTTGCCATTCATCAGTGTTGTGTTGAATTTTGGCCAGTTCAATTGCCCATTGGATTGTACATGAAAACCTGTTTTGAAGATCACCAGTTCTCAATTATAGATGATTCGCTGGTGTTTGACAAAAGGCTTGACCATTCCACCTTTGCTGCCCAACAGGTCCTAGGCAAGATATATCAGGAATACTTGAGGATTAACAATGATTCATTCATGAGGTGGTGGTCCGTACAGTTGAGGGAGTAATATGGAAGAACCACAGGAATCTCATCTCATTACAAAATAATCATTCACCAGTAATTAATTTGCATGTACCCCATGATAAACGTAGGAACAAGAGTAGGTCATTCAGTCCTTTAAGCCTGATGGGCCATTAGCTAGAATTATGACTGATCGTCCATTTCAAAGTTATTTTCAAACACTATTCCCACCACACTTTACATGGTTAGTATTTAGAAATATGTCAGACTCTGCTTTGAACCCATTCAATGATATCCAAAGGCTCACAGCCACTGAGTAACAAGATCTCTCATGAATGCTGCCATGTCCAAACCCTGCAGACCATGGAGGTTCAGCCTCAGAGTTAAGGTCATTAGTCCTCATTCCAAAGACCTACCTATCTACCAACTCCAAAGAAATTTGTGAAGTCAGAGTCTAGTGGCGATATGAGTTGGTGGTAAATGTATGTAAATGAACGTATGTTAATTCTGGGGAAAGAAAGTGGTTTGTTGGCAACATATGAAAGTGTAAATTAGGTGCAGGAGTAGGCCATTCAGCCCTTCAAGCCTGCTCTGCCATTCAATAGATTGTGGCTGATCATGATTTACTCCACATTCCTGCCTACTGCAGATAACATTTCACTCCCTTACTTGGGTGGAATTTATCTCCCTCTGTTAACAAATATTCAAACATTCTTCTTCTACCTCCTTTTGAGAAAGAATATTCCAAAGATTCAGGAAACCCTGTGAGGAAAAATACATCCAATCTCTGCCTTAAATGGGAACACCCTAATTTTAAACCATGGGCCCTGTTTCTATATTTTCCCACAAAATGAAAATCATTTTTGTATCCACCCTGTCAAAATTTTAACAGTAAGGATAACACTTCAGACTCATGATTAAGGATTAATGCTGGAGACTGTATTAAGTTCCCCTCAATCTTGAATGGGGATAAGACTGTATATCTTAGGATCTTGTGGAGTGATGACCTGTATGCAGATCACCTCATAGTCTTAGTAGTCATGTTTATCTCACTAATAAAACTTGTCATACAATGTAATAATCCTACAATAAATTGCATCGTGTTAACATGAACCTCTTCATGTTAAGTCTCAGTCGTGGGGTATCACCTCCCATTATAAGTCAATTAGGCCCTTGGAGTCAGTCAAAGGAAAGAGGATAGGCAACACCATTGTGCAACCCACAAACACCACAGCATCTTCACTTAAATCAACAGCAAACTGACATCAGTACCCAATCTACCATGTAAAGAAGGACCCAATCTTTTTCCATTTAAAATCGCAGTGGGTGAGATCTGAAGCAAAACGCCTTTAACTGCACCTCACCTTCTTGCCTGCCTATCGCAGAGATCAAAAGTTAACAACTTGCCTCTCAATGACAACATGCAGCAGGTCCAGCTCACAGCTAACTGCATGTTTCAATGCAGAGTAAAGCTCCACCTGCTGTGCATACCCTAGAAATGGATGTGCTATGTTCCTCAATGTCTGTTGGAGCAGGCTGCTTTTGAGTAAACCTGACAACTTCACAATGACTTTGCACTCACATACTAAAACCACGAAACCTGTTTTGTATTCTGCTGTGGAGGTGTGAATTCCATCAGCTGTGTGTTCAAATCCTGCTTCAGAATTTGACACCTAGACGAGACTCATTTTAGTACTAAAGCACTGCTGCATCGTCAAAGGTGCCATCTTTCAGATGAGAAGTGAAACCAAAGCTCCTTTTGCCTGTTTCAGTAGATATAAAAGATGTGAACAATAAACTAATGTGAAAACCAGTGGGGTGACAGACAGCTGCCAGGAATTGCGATGACATTATCCCCTAGTAAAAGGCAAGTTGAGAAATTAAGTGAACTGGTATCATTTATTCTATATCAGTGCAACACAAGTGTCAAGCCCATCTCCAGCAATAGAGAATCTAACAATCTCTTTATTCAGCAACCAACATAGCCAAAAACACCTCCCACCCTGGTTATACTCTCTTTCACCCTCTCCCATTGGGCAGAAGATATAAAAGTTTGAATATATGTATGAATAGATTCAAGGACAGCTTCTTCCCCGTTTTTGAACGGACCTATCAAAAGTTAATTCTGATCTCTCTCTCTCTCTGCACCTTCTCTGCGGCTGTAACACTGTATTCTGCACTCTGTTCTGTTACCCGAATGCGCTTTCTATGGTATGATCTGCCTGTAGAGCATGCCAAACAACACTTTTCACTGTATCTCGGTACATATGACAACAATAAATCAAATCAAAATCAAATCAGAAAATTGATGAGAAATGTTAATCAACTAGATCAATTGGGAGCAAGAGTCCAAGGAACTGCCAGGATTTATTACCCATCTCTCATTTCCTTTGAAAAACACAACCTAGTAGAGACAGGAGGGGAGCCTTATCTTAGGGGCCGGAATTGGCTAATGGGTGTGCTGGCTTCCCAATGCCTCACTCTGCTGCTAATAAAACATAAGCAGAGATGTATAGGCGGCATTCATAGCATGATTGCCATGGCACCCAGTTTTATACCCACCATCCTGTCTGCTTTCCCACTCCCAATGGCAGAGTTGAAATGTCCATTGTGCCAAGCTTTTCCTTCTCTGGGGTGAACAAGGAATGCTAGTTTTGCCACACCCCATCAATGAAAGAGATGGTTAGGTTTAGTGGTTAGCATTGTTGGCTCACAGCACCAGGGACCCAGGTTCAATTCCAACCTCGGGCGACTGTCTGTGTGCAGTTTGCACATTCTCCCCGTGTCTGTGTAGGTTTCCTCCGAGTGCTCCGGTTTCCTCCCACAGTCCAGCAATGTGCAGGATAGGTGTATTGGCCATGCTAAATTGCCCCTAGTGTTCAGGGGTGTGTAGATTAGGTGGGTTATAGGGGAATGCGTCTGGGTGGGATGCTCCAAGGGTCAGTGTGGACTTGTTGGGCCGAAGGGCCTGTTTCCACACTATAGGGATTCTATGATCTATGAACAAGAATTTTATATACCAATAAAGGAAATGTCATTTTGGGAAGCGAATGGTAACTGATGCCTCCTGAATTAGGCCAGAAATAAATGGAGTTTCAGACTTATCTAGAGCACAGCCCTCCAGCTTTGTTAAAATGTAAAATTCTCCACCACACAAAGCAGTTGAGGCCAAAACGTTGAACACTTTCAAGAGAGAGATAGATTTAGTTCTTAGGCCTAAAGGGGTCAAAGGGCAAGGGAGAAAGCAGCAACAGAATACTGAGTCAAGGTGATCAGCCTTGATCATATTGAATAACAG